TGGTTGGGCTTGAAAGACATAGTTGATATTTGGAACTTTCAATTGTGGTCTTTGACTCTGATCATTGTTCTTGGCTACCAACTTTGGTATTACTAAAGGATGTTACTGGAGCCTAACTTAGTCCTGAAAACTATTATTTGGCTATTGATGGGGAATATATTTGGGTGGAGGTGGAAGGATGCCTTTAAGTTATTGTTGCTCCCTAGAGATTGCCAGGAAAAGCCCCTGCAATTTTCTTGGCAAGATTTCAGAAGTGGTTTGCCATTGCCTGTTTCCAGGACTGAGAGAGAGAGATTGCCCCAATATCACCCAGCTATGTCTAGGGCATGACTTGAACTCACAGTCTCCTGGTTTCTAGCCTTGTGCTTTAACCACTACACTCCAATGGCTCTCAGTATGCATGTATACGCACGCATATACACACACCAGTGGTGGGTTGCCCCTGGTTCGCACCGGTTCTATAGAACCAGTAGTAAAACCGGCAGGAGGCGCCGCCCACTGACCCCAATGTCATCAAAACGTTTCTGCGTGCGCGCGGCCCCGCTGCGAACCGGTAGTAAAGGTAAGTAGAATCCATCCCTGACACACACACACACACTTTATCTCCATGAAATGTCTATAAATTTGGCAACTATTTATTTGATTTGTATTTATCTCTGCCAGATCAATGAGTAAGAGAAAGCAAATTTGTTCTGAAAAAATATTGGAAAAAAATATTTTAACATGTGTCATAAATGATTTGACAAATATTACCAACATGTGGCAGGCTGTGATGAATATACACATTGCCAGGGTATCTCTGTGGAATTATTTCAGAATGTCTCAGTGACAGAGGTCGATACTGGGGAAAAAAATCAATGTTTTTTCAGTTGTCGGCACACAAAGCATTGTACTTCCTAAGTACAGCAGCAGCATGAATAGAAGGAAATTTCAGTCACTCCCAAACTGTGAATGTGCTTGGTCATTTATCTATGTAAGGAAAAGGGGCAGAAGTACTTGAATACGCCCAGGACTTTTTCCCCCCCAGAGAAACATGCCCCTTCTTTCCTCTCTTTCTTACTGGTGCAGAATGATCCTAAGGACTTTCCCTTTTAAAGGAATTTCTAGTGTACATACTTATTTATCCATGAAAATGCGATTGCTATTTCATTGACTTTTAATTCAATTTCATGCATCTGCTGGAGTCATATGAAAGGCAGGACTGAAGCAAACAGACAAAAAAGTATATTCTCTCTGCTATCACTTTTTTCACTTTTCCATCTCTTTCCAATGTCTCCTGCTCTTCTTTTCTCCAAGCTGAGAAGAAGGGAGAAATATTTCTTAACCAGAGGCTTAAATCTGTGATAAAAGATTTACATTTTCCCAGCCAGCTACATTGTGAGGAAACTGTCTTTAGCTGAGGGCCTTCAAGTGAAATCAAGAATGTCAGTCAGCAAAATCTAGCAGGTTTAGTTTTCTTAACTCATCACTACAAATATTCTCATTGGCAGTTTTCACTATCTAGAGAAATCCACAAATCCTTTGGGAGCACACAATTTAGAGAAGACAAGAAACCTGTACTTCCACCGTGCTTTTCAGAATGAGACCTGGGCCGAGAGGAGGGAAGCATCCTCCCTCCCTCCCTCCCTTCCTAAAAGAAGGAAAAACTGGTAGCAAGAAAGAAAAAGCCTTCATGTAAGTTATGAAATGATTTCAGAAAGACAAAAAAAAAAAAAAGTAAGTCTGAGTTTAACCATTTCATTCATGGTTTGTGAACTACAATAACAAACATCATGTAGAACATGGGTGTCAAACTAGCGGCGTCATGTTGTTCTCAGGTGACATATTGCGACATTTTCCCCCCCTTGCTAAAATGGGGCGTGGCCAGCACATGAAGCATCTGGCCTGCGAGCTGTGAGTTTGACACCCCTGATATAGAAAGACGGACAGCTGACTGTGAGCTAACCCAGCCTCTATGTACTCACTGCTGGGTATGCTTAGAATCATATGCTCTCCTTGGTGTCAACACTTCAAGGCCCATCACAGCCATCCAATTCTGAGATGCATTGTTTACAATTCACACTGGTCAACTGTATGTCATTCAGCCAAGGATGGGACATTTTCAGAGTGTTATGGATCCAAGGCAGAGTTGTTGACCATTAGCATAATGTATTCCTTCACAGGTGAAAGAACACTGGGATAAGTTTGAATCTACAGTGTCTTTGGTACTCAATGCCCTGAGGGAGGTTATAGTAACAGAAACCTGAAATCTGACTTTATTTTCCCTTTCCTTCCTCTTTTCACCCCAGGGAGTTAAGTCAGAATTGCAATGTTTTCTTCATTTCTCAGGCCTAAAACATCTTTTGGTAACTGTCACTGAAATAGTTTCTCCAAGGGCACATCTGTGACACTCTACACTACTAATAATTAGAAAGGAATTACAATAACCATAAGTTGTTACTCACAATAACAAGAAATTTCAACAGAAACTCTTGGCACTAGCTGACCATGGAAACTAGATTTATAACATCATGGCCACACCTGTTAATCTGATCCAGTCTTCCAAAAAAGGTTATTAATGTTTTAAACTAGAATTTCAGGTTTCGGGAGAAGATAAGCAAAAGTTCAGCCAGAAGCCATTATGGAATGGTTCACAATCAATTCATTTGTTGTATGCAATCCTTGAACTGCAAGTAGCCGAACCTGATTATTTTTTTCATTTAGATTTTTATCCCATCTTTATTTTTGGTAAATTCAAGGAGACATACATACTTAATGCTTCTACCTTGTATTTTCCCCATAAAAACATTTCTCTGGTAGGGGCTAATGAGAGTGACTGCCCCAAACCGCTGCCAAAATCATCCCATTGCTCATCACTGTTTTCCTTCCTTTTGAATAAATATTTTTCTCATGTTCTCCTTTCAAAAAATATTTGAATAGCACCCATTATTCCCAAACTGGATACATTATTGTTGAAAGAAGCATCCAGAAGATGGGGTGAGATCAGTTTTTTTACTGGGCGCTCAGCAAGGCCGGTAATTAATATTTACTGTAAGCCAACATGCTTGGGGACCTCATTGCTGTTTTAGGAAACTAAAATAAAAGGGAAGAAGGCAATTAATGGTTCTGTAGGTTATTTCAGCTTGTTCTGAAAATCCGAAAATGAGATTGAATGTCCCTGAAGAAGAAAATACAGCACAGCTCTGAATGTGCTGAATTAATAATAAATATTAATGATTGGCCTTGTGTTGACAAGGCCTATTTTTTTTTTCTTTTGCATTTCCCCCTCTTTTTAAATCCTTCATTCCTAATGAAAGTCCTTGGAAAATTGAGAGTCGGTGAACTAGTTCATGAGACTTCATTTCACATAATTAAGGTTATCACTCTACTATGGATTTTTGGTATACTGTATTTTTTCCTCATAGATAATATAACTGCTTTTGGTATGTATTTAAAAGCCTTACTTTATCTGATTTCCTTTTTCTGGTACCTGACTTTCCCTCTTATCTTGTAATGTTTCATTTGAAAACTGCTATATTATTTTGGACTTTAGTAGTAATTTTTTAAAAATAAAATTATTAATAATTTCACTGCATTTCAAATAAACAGTTTCTTAATTCCCATTTCTGTTCAGCTACTGAAATGCAGACATTTTGAAATGTTTATCACCATGGTGAAAACTCCTTTTATCCCTTACAGCTTTTAGGGACTAAAACAAGTCCATATCTCTTGCTCTAAAGCTACAACCTGTTTTACATGGCATTTTGAGAGTGGCAATGCAAAGACAGACGAAGGGGGGGGGGTCTGTTTTGGAAGGGGAAAATTGCTGCCAAGTTGCCAACCTGTAAAGTTTCAGACACTCTTTTTACACCTTAAGGAATAGAGCTATAGAAGGGAAGAAGACTGTATGCCTTCCTTTACCATAGTTCTAAATGTGTTTAATAATAAGTATTGTAAACTTCTGTTTGCATACAGTTATTTTTGATGAAAGAACCATCCAAAACTTGTAGGATAATAAATATAAGTATCTAAAAAATACAACTAATTCTATATTCCCCGCCCACCCACCCCCTTGTATAGAGAGAGCTGTCCAGGTTTCCCCTACCCCCACTATTTTTCCTCCAGTGAGAGATTTTCCTATAAATTCATCTATCATCTATCATCTATCTATCTATCAATCTATCATCTAATTTATTAAATTTATTGAAATACCCTTCTTACCGCAAGGTAACTCTGGGAAGCTTACAATATTAAAATGATAAAAGTATACAAAATCACAATACACAATATGAACAAAATACTGTAAAAAATACTCTTCTTGTTTCTAATAGAGTAATAAGGTACTGGCCAATGAAATTTCAAATGGTGAGGATATTATTTGGTTTGTTCCCAGTAATGGGAGGGAGGGAGGGAGGGAGGGAGGGAAGGAAGGAAGGAAGGAAGGAAGGAAGGAAGGAAGGAAGGGTTACCAGATATCTGAACAGGCAAAGGAGGACATGGGCAATTAGAAAGGAGGACCACACTAACTGTTTAACTTTCTTGGCATCTGCAACAAAAATTACAGTCAAAAATTGCAAAAAAAGATGCACTCAGGTCTACATATTTATGAAATTTCTTTTCCAGCTGAGAAAGGCTGGTCTTTCAATTGTAAGAATGTGCTAAAGCTGGTTAGGAGATTAAAAACCCTCAGTAGCAACTAATACATACTGAAATTGACTGGTCTTGTCAATTTCAGGCAGCAGCACAAGCTGGGGGAAGAGTACTAATCAACTAATTAAGAAGCTTGTTAACTTGCTAGCATTTATTAGGGAAGCACTGTGCAGTGGAGAAAAGCTGCTCAGGAAGGGAAGCATGTTAGATACTCAAAAGGTTGGACAATATTTGATGTTAAAGTTATGCCTGCTGGAGGAAGAACATGAGGACAGAAGGAAGAACGCGTCTTCCTTTTTTCCAGAAATCTGGTAATCCTAAATATGGTTTGTGTTCTGGCCATCTTTTACCCCTAAGCTTTCTATTTGCAGGACCGTTGTTCTCCTTTGTGACTTCCGCAAACCACAAACAGCCCTGTATGTCTGTTTTTCAACTTTCAGCCATTTCCAGGTGTTGCGAAAACGCCAGTCAAACATATTCACCTGAGACTGTAATTCCCACTGCTCTCTGAAATTTATCTCAAGGTTAGTTCACATTGATTTAGGATGTTTTATTTTGGTCTCCGAAATTGCAATCACAAATTGAGTCAAACTATTTTAAATGTTATTTCAAATGCTTTACTATAAATATTTTATTTCTTATATTCATACTGTACCTTCGATCCCCGGGAGCTATTCATAACTCTTTTTTACTGCTAAAAAGTCACTCTTTTATTACAAACAACAAACCTATACTCTTAAGTTTCTCGTTGGGTCATAAGGCTATAGAGTACCCTGGTTAGAAATACAGTACTAGAAACTACATAAATTATAACAAAGCGATCCTAAGCATATCCACTTCGTAAATTCTATAGACAAGCTTCTGCAGAGAAAAAATAATTTTCTGACAGATAATTAAAGTAACCTATACACTGAAAGTCCTTGTTTAACAACCATTTATTCAGGGATTGTTATGATGGTGCTGAACGAATGGAATTTACAACCAGTCCTCAAAGTTATGGCCATTGTAGTGGCACTGTGGTAACAGAATCAAAATTTGGATACTTGGCAGCCTAACTGCCCACAACTGTATTTTTCTTTGCTATGTGGGCCTGCCATCCTGCTCTCCACCATCCATGCTATCTCCTGCCATTCCCTGCCACCCTCAGATGACCTGCCTTGTTTCTTCCTCCATTTTGTCAGTAGGTGGTGGAGTGGAGCAACACAGGCAGAAGAGATGGCAGACAGCAGAGTGGCCAAAAGGGCAGAGAGAGGGAGGAGATAGGTGGGTGAGAGATTTGAAGAGGCGGCAACCACGGGAGATCAGGAGAAACATGAGGTTCTCACCTAATGACAGTGCTGGCCTAGTCTAAGGAATACAACTGGGGCCACCAGAAGTGCTGTTGCTAATTGGTATCTTTTGTTTAGCAACTGCTTGAGTTAGCAAAGAAAATTCTGGTCCCAACTAAGGGTGAAACCTGAAGATTATTTGCCTTCCCACATTCTTAAGAACCATCTAGGATGAGTCTGATTCTATACTGTAAGCTTGCAGTACTGGGGTGAGCAATCTACACTTGCATATGAACTTGCAGATTGATTTCAGCAGTCCCCAAATCCCTGACTGAAGCTACTAAAGGAATCCAGTTTTATCCAAAGTTTAGTAATGGCGTATCTGATTTTGAATCACAAATGTAAGATTAAATTAATTTTAAGATTAAAATGAATTAAAATGAATTTTAAGTGTCACAACTACTTATGGTAGCTGTGACAGGATTATTTCACCTTATAGTGTCAGGTGAACTTTTTCCCCCCTCACCCCCGCCTCATTGACCATTCCTTCAGGGTCTTTTGGAGTTAATTATGTTTATCATGGTGGCTTTTAAACTAATTTAATATTTTACTTTATTTGCTTTCAGAATGTTTCTGTATATTACAACCTGCAACAAGTTTCTCTGGAGTGTGGCTAGGCTATAAATATGTTAAATAAATAAATAAATAAAATGTCCATCACTGAGATGTAGCTTTGGACAAAATGTCAAGTGTTAACTAGTAGTTGGAAGCCCACCTGCCTTCTTCTCTGTAGACATCCACAAGAAGCCATGATGACTTTGGCAGATTTTCAGCTTTTTTTTTTTTTTTAATGATTTCAAATAAGCCAAAACCTCTTGTACTTATTTAAAGTTGATAATTTGAACATATTTTTTCTAATAAGAGTTAAGCCTCTAGGGTTACACACCACAACCTACCATGCGGTTCTCAATGAGATTGCTGGGGTTTCTTTTGTGGTCTTGTTTGTTTTGGGTATTTTTAAATTCAGGATGGCTACAAACCACTTGGGCAGCAACTATATTTATTATGCTCAGTGGGAACATGGCAAAATTAGAGAAAGTTCATACCATATTCGGAAAGGAAAAGGGAATCGATATGGGGGTATAGTTATGAAAAATCTTAATTAAAGGAAAAGGGATAAAGATACCACAATGACAATTTTGATTATTCACTTATTTCATTTATTTATTTTGAATAATTTATACAGCCATCTACTTGCTCACGGTGACTCTAGGCAGCTTACAGGAAATAAAAACACAATGTAGAAGGAATAAAAATAATAAAAAGTAAAAAAAACAAATAACCCCCCACTAACCTCTCAGCAACAGCACACACTCATATTTAATGGGCTCCATCTCACTCTGGGTTCCACAGACCCTTTGGAAAAACCACATCTTCAAGGTCTTCCAAAAAAGTGTCAGAGTGGGGGCCAGTCTAATTTCTGGAGGGATGATGTTCCAGAGGGAGGGAGCCACCACGGAGAAGGCCCTTCTTCTGGGTCCCGCCAGATGTATCCCCTTAGGGGACAGGATCTGCAATATTCCTTCCCTCCCTGCTCTAGTGGGTTGGGTAGGTGCAACTGGCAAGAGACAGTCCCTCAGATAACCTGGTCCCAAGACATGATATTATATTATTCTATAACATCAAAGCTCATAAGGCAACTGTTTCATGATACAGCAGTAAAATGAAGCTGTTAAGATGGTTATCTCTGGAAGATAAATTCTTTATCGTAACTGCTCTATCTGCAACTGCTTTTCCCAATCCATCACTTTCCAAGCAGTTTAGAATCTCCATAATCCACAACTATCAGGTATTCCATACAGGTAGTCCTTAACTGTAATGGAGCCTGCCCATTACAGTCGTAAGTATGAGGGTCATAAAATGGATCATCACATGACCAACCTGAATTTATGACCTCTTTTGCCATAATTACCAAGTGGATCACCCCAGCTGTTTAATGAATCACACAGTCGCCAAGTGAATCCATCTTCCCTATTGACTTTGCTTGTTAGAAGACAGATGGGAAGATCACAAATGGAGATCACATGATGCCAGGATACTACAACTGTCATAAATAGATGCCAGTTGCCAAGCACTCAAATTTTGATCACGTGACCATGAAGACACTGAGATGATTGTAAGCAGGGATGAAATGCTCCCGGTTCGGACCTGATCGCCCGATCCAGTAGCGATGGAGGCGGATGGTTCGGAGAAGCGGTAACAAAAATCCCTGCACCCCCCCCATGCCCAGTTGAGCCGCGCGATCATCAGAGGCTGTTTTTTTTTACTTTTAAAAGCATTTTTTCTACAACCTTTTTGGCCAAAAAAATGCTTTTAAAAGTAAAAAAAAAAGGCTCTGATGATCGCGCGGCTCAGCTGGGATCATCAGAGGCTTTTCAAAGCATTTTTTCCTGCAACCTCTTGGCTGAAGAGATGGTAAGAGAGGTTGTAGGGAAAAAAATGCTTTGAAAAGCCTGTGACAATTCCAGCTGAGTTGCCTGATCGTCAAAGGTTTTAAAAGCATTTTTTTCCTGCAACCTCTTCAGCCGAAGAAGTTGTACGAAAAATGCTTCTTAAAATAATAATAATAATAAAAAAAAGTTGGCCATACCCACCCAGTCACATTACTCCCACCACCAAGCCATGCCCACAGAACCGGTAGTAACAAATTTTAGATTTCACCCCTGGTTGTAAATATGAGGACCAGATATAAATCACTTTTTTCAGTGCCGTTGTAATTTTGAATTACAAAATTCAAAATTACAATGGTACTGAATGGTACAAGAGAAGAGCAGGCAAAGCTGGACCTCAGAGTAAAATGCGCTGTAAATTTAGAGTCCTTGCATTGCCACAAGAGACCCAATTCCCCCCACCTTGAATTCTGATGAGCCTTATCTAGCACCAATGTAGTGTGGATTGTTCATTGACCAGATTGCTGGTCAGGAATCAGATGATTCTGATGATTAGCCAAAAGGAACATGTGTTGAAATGGCAAAACTAAAGTTCAGGGCATAGCAGGCCTTGGAAAGTTTCACAGGAAACCACTAGCCTGTGACCAAAGCCACAGAAGGCATGCTTGACTATTTTTATGATTTCTATATTTTCTATATCTTACCTGTAGTGTACCAGGTGCATATTATGTAATGAAATGAAAGCAAAGAAATTTATAAATATCTGCTTGGCACTATGCTCAGGGTTCCTTTCTTCTTGGAGGGACCCATCTTTATTCAGCTGAATAAACATGATGGCTTATGATCACCTATACCTGGCTCTGTCTTTTATTTTACCAAGCCACACCTGTTAATCTGCATGACAGGATTCTAATGTACAGGCTTCAAAAAATCATTTTTATGCTGCAATCTACACAATTGTCCTCATTCTTTTTTTTCTTTTTTTTTGTAAACAAGTTTTATTAGAATTTTTCTTTATCATACATATTTTATGAACAGTGTTGACTCTATCTTATATATCTTATATATCTTAATCTTTATAATCTATTCCAATCTTTCCACTTTCATATTCAACTCTTTTATATAATTTTTTAATCACAAATTACCGTATTTTTCGGTGTATAAGATGCACCGGAGTATAAGACGCACCTTAATTTTGGGGGAGGAAAACAAGTATTTTACCTCTGCCTACCAGTATTTAAGGTGGCACCGTCCTCCTCTTCCTCCTGCAAGCGAGAGGTGCAGGGACTACTTGCTTTCCTCCAAAGAGACCCCTAGCATGCTCTGGGGGGAGGGACAGAGCACAGCCTGAGGAACAACCCTCCCTCTTCGGGACAGTGTGTGGGGGGGAATCTGCCCAGCAGCTTTGGGGAACAAGGCGGGTGCCATGATTTGCAGTTGGTCACCCCTCTGGCCGTGCTGATTTCACTTCCCAGCAATGTGAGGAGCCGCCGCTGCCACTGCCTAACTCTCTCTGCGCCCAGGAGCCAAGCTGAGCTGAATGGGAGCCCCTAAAGGGAAATGTTCCTCCTTTCCAGCCATTGCTGCCCTGATTCCAAAATGCAAATCTCAAGAGTCGCGCTTCAGGTGGCGGCCAGTTTCCCTGCAATGTGCAGCGGGGAACTGGGAAGTGCTTTGGATTCGGGGAGGAGACTGTAGCGCTGATGCCTAAAAGTATGTGTGCCCCATGAGACACAAAAAAAGTGTGCCGTGTTTCAGGCGGCAGATCTGGCCAGGAGGAAAGAGATGCCCTAAGAATCTCCTGAGGTATAGGTGAATTAAATTAAAACGTACAGTAGATAAAAGAACTAAAGAAATTAAGCAGAAATAACACTCTAACGCTGAAAAGCAGATAGAGCTCACTTTCCACACAACTGTCCAGTCTGACGACTGAGCAAAAAAGCGGAATCCCTAGGAATAGGGGCGGGATTTAATAATTAATTGACAGGCTCAGTCCACATTTGACCAATGAGCATAACCCACATATGGCTGCTGTCTCCACTATCAAGGGAGAAGGAGGATGGGGGCGCGCGGCTCTGCAATGTGCAGAAAAACACTTTTGGGCGTCAGCGCTACAATCTCTTCTCTGAATCCAAAGCACTTCCCAGTTCCCCGCTGCACATTGCAGGGGAACTGGCCACCACCTGAAGAGCGACTCTTGAGGTTTGCATTTTGGAATCCAGACAGTGATGGCTGGAAAGGAGGAACGTTTCCCTTTAGGGGCTCCCATTCAGCTCGACTTGGCTCCTGGGCGCAGAGAGGGTTAGGCAGCGGCGGCAATGGCTCCTCACATTGCTGGGGAATGAAGTCAGCACGGCCAGAGGGGTGACCAGCCGCAAATCGTGGCACCCGCCTTGTTCCCCAAAGCTGCTGGGCAGATTCCCCCCCCACTGTCCCAAAGAGGGAGGGTTGTTCCTCAGGCTGTGCCCTGACCCAGATCCCTGCCATCTGGAACTGGCCGAAAATGGCCGAAGGGTGGGGGCCGGCAGGTGGGCGGACTACATTCAGTGTATAAGATGCACCCAGATTTTCACCCCCTTTTTGGAGGTAAAAAGGTGCCTCTTATACACCGAAAAATACAGTAATCATATAAGCATATCTTATTATTTCAGCTTCTATTATATTATTCTTTTTTTTCCCAAGTACGTTTTACATGATTCCAATTTCAGCCATAATATTTTTTCATACTTCTTTATCTTATCTTAATCTTTTCTTGATACATAATACATAAACAATATCACTATCCGCCATTAATTCCTAATGTTACAATAACATCAATTAATTATCTTATTTTTCCATTTACAAAATATATTTCTCAAAATCCACACCCCACTTTTTAACATTTCAATTTTATCTCTTAATTTAAATTGTCTTCATAATTAAACCAAATTGTCTTTTCATATTTCATCTGCTATTCTGTTTTACTATAAGCAATATACATCATCATATTCAATTCTTACATTAAAACCCTTTAACTTGATAGACCATCCACAATTAATAGTATTAATACAGTTCCCTTAAATCTACTAATATGTACCTCATTTCCCTTCCTCCTTTCCACTATTCTTCTTCTCTTTAACCATTTTCTCTTGGTCTCTCCAAAATTCCACTTCTTAATAATTTTCTCCTTTTATCCCATTTTCTTAACTTGTTCTTTTTATTTTTATATTTATTATATCTTGTCATCCAAATCC